GAAATCTTCGTTCGACTACTCTTCAAAATCGTCATGATCGTTTAGAAAAACAAATTCGTCGTATGCTTATTCCTCAACTTATTATTTTAGCTATATTTGGAATACCATTTGGTATTGATTGTATTTATCAAGATATAACTAGTAAAGTACAGAAAGATGTTCTTCGAAAAGCTATTGAACGTTTATTTGCTCAAATTACTCGTCTAGTTTATCATGTTATTTTTGTAAGCACATTTTATATATATTTGTACATGTCAAATGATATGAGAAAACTTTTGATGCAATTCATGTCTAAGTGTTTTAAAAAAAATATTATTACACCGGTAAATACTTCGCATAGCAAACCTATTATTCTTCAAACATTGAAATCTACAAATAATTCTCAATAATTATCGATGAATGACAATATAAAGTACACTATTATATGTTTAATGTTTGTATTGTATTTTACTGCATTATATCTTTTCTTCTTTACTCTTAATGTTTGTTTATAAATATAATAATGATTAAAAAATATACATAACAAAATGTTTTCATCTTATCTTTCAATAATATGATATAAAATTATTGTGTAATATTTCTCTATAATAGACAGAAATAATTGCAAGACAAGATAATATCAACAATATTCTTCAAGCAGGATAAAATATAAATCATTTTTTTTTGTATGAGATTGATGAATATATACCTCTGGAAAGCAAAAACATATGAATTTTTTGCATTTGTCGATTGAAAGTGTCTTCAGTGCGCTCAATTTATTTTGGTAATTCACAAATGAAAACTAAAATATAAATATGCAGAATGATAGAAAACTCCACGCGCTTTCAGAATATGGTATTATTCATTTAAAAATATGTTTTTATATTGACGATATACTTAAAATACTGACTCTAACTATTTTTTTCCGAGAGTATAGATTATTCAGCATATACATTCTCGATTACAACAATTTTGATATAAAATTTTCAGGCGAGGAAATTTTCTGGAATTCAATTCTAGCCCGTCCTGTTCTCCCTACATTTGGGAGTGTAGTTGGATACATGTCAGCCGTACTTATAACATTTATCGCCATAATTTCTTTATCTTCCAATGAAACGCAGCATTTAACAGCATTCTTATATGGTTTGTCTCATTACTTATCTATAGCATAGCCAAACAACTTGAGCATTAAAACAAACGACTGTGTACAAGTATTTGAAGAAAATCTAATGCCTAGACAAACTTTTTCTCTCAAGAACTTGACATGCATAAATCTCAAGATGTGTTCACACCATATGATTTTCTTATTCAAGATGTTCAAGTTATACAACGGTGTGGGATGGGTATGGGTGTGAGTTCACACCCGTGCCCTATTACAACAATTTGCCCATATATCTGCCAATACTTCAATTCTATGTAGAATTCGGCAAGGAATGATTACAGATGGGTGGTATCCAAAATAAAAGAAGGACATTTATATAACTTATCTTCATAATCATTTTTTTTAATGTTTTGTTTGTGGAATAAACAAGAAAAGTCTATCTGAATTTGAACAAATTATTGATCGCAGTCACAAGGCTTAGTATCGACCAGTGACAAAAAAAATAATTGAAGTTTATTTTTTGATAGATAAATGCAAATGGTCGATCTATTTAATCGGATATATTCAAACTATAATAATGAACATTAGAACTAATTAAAAGCTAAATAGATAATTGACATTTTATGATGTAAAATCAATTTAGATGTTCTAATAATCGTTTATTTGTTTTTTGAACTAATCCGAAAAATAAATGTTATTTTGAATTGATTTAAAAAATGTTTTCAAACTATTTTTTTCATAAAATAGTAATCAATCGAATCGATTGTATTATGTAGTTCTTGTCGAGTCATTAGATATATGTCGGTAGTGTTAGTTATATGTTGTTATTTTTATTGACGATGGACATTTTAAGAAGTGGATAGTTAGTCATTGATGCTATAATCTTTCTCTTGTTATTCCTTAAGATATAAATAAAGTAGCCACTTGTAGAAACTTCTAGGGCCTATCGGTTCCAATTAAACAATGTTTGAATGCCGCCAAATGTGATGGAATCAAACGACATACAGAAACCCTGTCTCAAATATTTTAAAGAAAAAAGTTTAGCATAATGTGATGTATTCGTAGGAAATCGTTGAATATATAAATCAAAAGTCACTCTTTTTGTTCATCCTTATCATTCAAATGCATTCTACATCTCGGGAAAATTATTAATATTTCATGAAATCATAGTCAATATAAACTATCTGATGATGAAGGAATGATATATTCGAAATCATCAATCAATCACATTTTTGCTTTCAGTTTTAATATTCATAAAATTAAAGGCTATGTTATCTCTGCACTGAGATAGAAACTATTGAATCCGACCGAAAGATGCATTTTTTCTTCTATAAAAAGAAGATTCTTTTTCAAACATTTCAGGACAAAACATGAATAAATAATCCGTTTGATGCCATGAAAACACAAATGAAATAATTCTACTCTCGCAATATTCTGATCAAAGTCACAAGTTTCAAAGTAACATCACGGGTGTTTCCATATTACTTGACATCCATTTCGAAGAAAATTTAACAAAAAATTTCTTAAATCCCTTTGTTTGCTCAATTCACTGATTTCACTAACAATGATATGTAGAATTTTGCGTTGAAAAATTGTCTTCGAGAACGACATGCTCTTGTGTTTAAAGGATGCGCATTTCAATTTACTGAACTTCAGACACGAAAGAAATACTACTATTTGTTTCTTGCTCATGGTCGAAGATTTCAATAAATTCTGATTGATATTGCCATTTCATGAGGTTTAATGATTCTTCTAACGTTAAAAATGAGCAAGATAGGTCACGTTTAGTCTTTTAAAAATAAATAAAATGTATTCTAATACTGTTCAGAATCAATAAATGAATATGTTTTTTCTATTCTAATGCGATAAGTCGAATGAATCGACTACAACTTAATAAGTTATATTTTGTGTTCTTTAGCATAGAACATTCAATTTCACCAATTATATAATATTTATATATTGTTACTTTGTCCACATTGTGAGTTTCTAAGAAAATGAGCGTCTGGGTAGGAATCAACAGAAGCAACCCACACCCCACACTCCACCCTTTACTCATGTAAATATTCAAAATTTTTGATAAAAATACGAATGAAAAGTTTCACTTCAGAAAACGCATATAATTATCTAATTTTGACCATTAAAAAATTGAAATATTCAATATAAATAATGCTAAAAATATTCGTATGGGAAAGCGCTCAAGATATTCATGTTTCATACGCTAACACGGTTATCAATTATCACTCCAATCATTAGGATAAAAATGATATAAAAGAATATATCAAATTTAGAGTTTTGATTGATAAACACGCTTGTTAGAGAAAATGATCGGGAAAAGTCCTCATAAAACTACCTTTTCGAACATTTACTGGTTCAAATATATTCGACAAAAAAAGAGTTGTACGAGTTCACTTCAAAACTTAGACTTTCTGGTGTTTACACTACAATTTTGCTCCAAACGCGTACAAAATCTTGTCTGCTTGGGTAGTTACATGCGGCATTTGCTAGACGCGCCTTTGTTTCTATAATGTCCAGCAGAAATTTGATTTTCTCATCTATAGAAGCAATAACTTGTAAGTAGAAAAACGTTGTGGAGTTTGCGTATTCG